CACCTAGTTCCTATACCTATGTCAAGGACCTGATATATTTAAATTACAGTTTTTGGCAGGTTGCTTAATCGACAACCACAAAAACCGTTGGAGGTTCCAGAACTTCTTTGGCAACCCATTTCCCTGCTTAAATGTTATGATTGTTCAAAAGGTTTTCACAAGCCTAAATCACTCTTGCTGCAAGAGAACTGTTGCATTTTACCTTCCCACAAAGGACCTAATTACCCAGAAAATGCTCAACTAGGTGAGACCAACAGTACATCCAGCCTGGTGTTTCTTCTCCAACAGGACTTTAGGAAATGACCGGGGAGAGCATAGCCTGGCTGCTGTTTCCACGTTGCACCTTTCATACTTTACAAGCACATACAACTATTGGATAAGAGGAAATAAAAGCCTCTTCCCTTTAGATTTCTGTATTTCTGTATTGTGGGGTTTAAGCACCAACAAACACACGTTCTCCTCTCCAAGCTGAAGGTCCTGGCCTTTTTAGTTTCTCCCTATTAGGCAGCTCTTCCATCTCCATGTCTGTTACTCTCCTCTGGATCTTCTCCAACTCCACCACATTATGAAAATAAAGAAAAGCAATAGACTTCTTTGTTAATGACTCTCCAAGTACTGTTTTCCACCCAACTTTACACCTAAAAACAATTGCATATAGACTATGATTCCTTGCTTTGAGGAATACAAGTGTTAAATGTTACTACCCAGCCATAAAAAGGAAATGAGGTTTGTGTAATACACAGTGTTTGTAATCATCTCTCTCGTGTTTTTTTCCCCCCCCCTTTCCTTATTTCCTTGAAAAATGTACTTCTGAACTGCTAGGAAACTGAGCTTAGTGTTAACACAGGTACGTGTCGTCCACTGAACACAGGTAGCTTGCGTAAGAGTGATCAATCACGTTTTCTCCGCCGTTATCTGAGCTTTATCCACTGCCTCTTGACATTGATGTTTTAAGTAAACATTATAACTTCACTGACATCATTTATTACTCTCTGCAGGGAGGTCACGGACCAAAATTTTCCTTGGTCCTCCCTTATATCAGTAAGGGACTCACTGTTTACTAGCATAATCAGTAACGAACGCTTGGGTTGTTTTATTAGCTCTTCCTCCTCGCCTCTCATTTTTGTGCTTTGGACTTTCAAAAAAGCACAGAATTCCAGGGTGACTCATTTTTAGGGACAATTCTATCCATTTCCCTTATGTTTCCTTCTTGAAGACTATTGAGGACTACAAGATACATTACATTTATTTTCACTGTTCCATATTAGGATATACTACAACTATATCTTAAATACATGTATTTTTATGAACTGCCAAACTCCTGAGACTCCTAGACTTTTTTCATAGGATTTTGAAAACAGATCTCCGAATTTCTTGTAGCTGCTCTTTTTCTATTCTTCCTATTTTCCATTCTAAAAAATCTTGAAAACCTTGTAAGAAAATTTTTATATTAAACTTCACCTTCTATACCAAAACCTGACATCAACCTAGTCTAAAAATACTCCAGATACTCTGTATTAAATTTATTTTTCCCAAAACTAGTATCTCCTCAAGGCAAACTATTCTGTTAGTTGTTAGCATAAATGTTTTTTCCATCTTATCCTTTTTGGCTTGGTGGTCCTAATGGTAGGTCCTCAGTATAACAGCACTCAGGCTTTTTTCTACTTTTATTGTCATAAAGATACCTTCAACAGATTATCTCCCTCTTCAACACAAAGCTAAATATTCACTGAGAAACACATCTTCTCTCCCCTTTTCTTCAGGCACCACCTCCCCTTTTTTCCATATTAATTCATTAACAAATTAAGTATCCCACCAAGTAAACATTTACATTGCCTAAATCACAACTTTGTCTAGAACCTCATACATTCTTCCATTTATTCTCCATACAGCCTGCACTAGTACAGACATCTGAAACGCTGAGCAGACATACTCACTATCCTGTTTCTCATATTGCTTCAATCCTTTGTATAAAAACCCTACAGCCATTATTACCATGCCTCTGGTCGCTTTTCCACTGATAACACATTTTTTTTTGTCATCGTCCCTAATAATTCTAGTTTAAAGCCTTCCTTCCTGAGTTGGTAAGCCTAAACTTAAAGCAGCATTTATTTTTCCTTACGAGGTAGAGCCCACCTCTGCTCAGCAGTGCTTTCTTTTCTGTTCTGGAAGAGCTGTGAAAGCTCAGCCATTCAAATTGGCAACAGTAGGATCAGGTCAATCACAATTAATGAAGTTTTTTTTTGTTTCCCTTTGAACAGCAATTCTCTCTGCACAGTGAGAGACCTACCAACTCTAAAGGTGACCAAATATTTTGAGTAAGGCTACAAAAGTTAAAAACCATGGTAGATCACTGAATCCACAATCAACAAGAAATAAAATAGACATCATTATTTTCAAGAATTTCACAATTACAGATACTTATATATATGTGAGAATCTATAAGCATCTCTTGGAAAACAAATACAACTGCTCTAGCAAGGTCAGAGTTACATAAAGATAATTAATAGGTTGATAATGAGCAACTATGGGGTTTGCAGTTTTTCAGATCCTCCTTCTCAGACTAAAAGAGGTATAAACTCTACCCAGATTAACGCTCTGCTGGCATCACTGTTGGTCTTCATGATGTCTGGAGCCTGAAATTAAGTTTTCCTACAGCAGCACCTTCTCGTATCAGTGTGAATATAGTGATGCAGAGAGATTTGCTAATACAAAGGGACTTACACAAGATAACTGAGACATACAATCATTCCATTCTAAATCAGTATCACAATGGACCCTCTCATTCAGCTTTCAAAGGGCAAAAATCCCTGAGACAAAAATCCCATCTATTTTCCTCCCACCACGCCAAGTCGCAGTCTTACCACAGATAGGATCTTCACAAGATTGAAGAGCACAACTCTTGTCCTCATCAAAGCCTTGACTTCCCCCAGCTCTGCTTCACAGATATATATACACTGTAATTCAGGAAGTGCCCTCCTCATAAAAGATTTCCTGTATATGCAAATACACAGAATCACAAATACTTGTGTACATCCTTGGCAAACACTTCTTGTAACTCACTGAGGAATTGTGACTTTCCTCCTAGCTAGTCCTGCTAGTTTATTTTATTATTTCCTCCATATCCTGGTCTCCGTCTTTCTGCCTGGCTGTTTTTCCCACTCTCACTAGTTCAATAAAATTCCATTTTTTCTAGACTAGCCTCAAGGACAGGAACATCACTGACTTCTTGGATGTGGTATTCCATTATTTTTCCTGAGTGTCAACTTCTTTATTCTAACTTAATTCTAACAAATTCCAGCTATAACTGCAAGAACTGATCAGTATATACAACCAAAAACTTACTTATTTCTACTGATATTTAAGGGATCAAAACTCTCTTTAAAATCCCATTTAATGGTCATAAAAATCTTGATAGCATTTAAAAAAAATATTTTTATGTTAAACCAGTTGTCTCCACTTACTGAAAATGCTGTTTTATTCTTTTTTTTAATTTTATTGTATTCTATTCTTATTTGAATTTCTATTGTTTACAACCTGAAAATGCCACTTATTTGTTGCTTAGTTTCCTATGCTTCAGGTACTTTTATCTTGTGTGGTACAGTACCTCACACAGTGGACCATTATCCATGATCAAAGCCTTTCATATCTGTCCAATATAAAGTTAGTAAAAATTAATATTCAATAACATCAACAATACTTTCAGTTGTTATCTAGGTCTGTGTGCCATAAAGACAAAAAAAAAAAAGTTGTGCTGAAATTCTCCAAAGTGTGTTAAACTGTAAAACGAGAAATATCTGGAGGCTAATAAAATAACCTCTGACAAATGAAGAATTCTAGAGAAGTAATTTAATTGTCTGTACTCTGATTGCAGATCTAGCTCAGCATTTGAGAAAGACCAATAAAATCTGTCTGAAATACACTATTACGTATTACTGATGACCTCTGTTCTCATGACGCCATGACAGTCATAAAATAGTCATTTATTATTATCTCTCTCCTTACTAATTCTTGACAGGAAGATGGGAGAAATATGTAGCTAATCTTCCTCCTCCTTTTCCTTCTGGTTTCTATTTCATTTCTCAGAACCCGTACACGCTCAGCTACCTTCTTTCTCATGGGTACCTATAAATATCCAGGTTAAAAGGAAACAGTTCACTAGAAAGGCATGTTGCCATACATATTTTGTTTACTGGCAGCATAAAACGCTAGGCTACATTATCTAAGCCTCAGAAGAGGTACAAAAGGCTTCTTTCACAATGTTCTGTCAATACATTTCAATTCATAACATAATTTACTACTTACAGCTTTTCTTTGTCTCTCCCTTTGCTGCTGCCAGTTGGGATAAATCCTACTCCTCTCGTCCCTGCACAAGTTCCAGTGCTTATCAGTGGCTTTCATGAGCTAATTCTATTATGTTGGGGGGGAAAAAAAAAAATCTATTACTTCTCTGCTTATTTAGGCCCACTGAAGGATTTTACGTGCTCCAAAGCTAAGAACAAAGCCAAGAAAAAGGGAAGGAGACAACTCAAAAAGACTTCAGACACTTTTTATACAATATATTTGGTAAGTTTGTGGTAGGGGAACAAGCACACCATTATATAAACTCAAGTCCTGTTAGAAAGAACAGCACTGAAAATATGATGTAATTATATTGTTGCTACACCTTACTGCTTAACTTTACACATGATACAGAGCTCCCCTGTTTCTAACAGGCTGTGTAATGAAGTGACAACTAGAATTGGACAAATAGTTTAGGTTTTGGCAAGTTTTTATTAACCCACAGAGATTCTTCCATGAAAATGTTCACATTATTTAACTGCTTTTTAAAGAATCTTTAATTACTCTCTTGACACACATTGTTAGATCCTGCTGGAAGCACTAATACTCAAGTAAGCTTTCAAGTAATTAATGAAGAACAAATATGTACAGAAATACTGAATTACAATATTTTTGAAAACATGCACTGGTTCAGCTTTCAAAAAAATTCTGACCATTGGTCAGGCTGACAAATTATTTGTATCAGCTTCGCAGATTATTTTTTCTTGTTCATCTTCTTGATGATCATCGGTCTGCTCTTGATGGTTACTGTTATCTTCAACAAGACTTTTAAGACGTGACAAATGGTGTAATGCCCTAGATTAGGAAAAATGAAGACTTTAACTCAACAGCATATGTATTACTATTTACATTTAACACAAAATAATGTTGATGTCTTACAAAGAGCTTACCAGTTGGAATGGTATTATATATAGTTTACATCTTTATGTCTAACTATTCCAAGTATTCTGTTTTAGAGATTATAAAATACACCAAGATCTTTTTTTAAAGATAAAACTTTTTGGAACTGGAATTTTAAATACGTCTTCTCAAATGCAGATGTTCACACGAACTCACAGTTTCTATTACATTATTACAGAACAGGTATCTAACACAGGATGTTGAACACTGCAAAACACTGTCATAAAGCAGCATTCTTTAAAATTAAAAATATTTTAATTTTACATTACAGCGTAAAACTATACTGCACCACTAAGTTTTGTTGAAATAAATGTTCTGTATAATAAAAACCCTTTATCCATTCTGCCTTTTCTCAAACTTATTATTTCTTTAGTCACTTAACTGTTCAGTAGGACTCTGCTGATTTAATTAATGAAATATATTTTCTAGCAAATATTTTCTCCACTGTAGTGAAAAATGTGTTTTGTCCCATATTACAAACTTCTCCAAGTCTGATTACTTTAAAGTCCATCTATGTGTAGCAATAATTAATCTATTGATATAGACAAAATACAAACATTTATTTACAGAGTACATCTCTGCAACCATTCACTAGATATTTCTCTGCTCCATGAAATGCCATGTTTTTAATTTCTCACTACTGGCTTATTCTAAACAAAGTTTTGAGATCATATGATAACTCTCTCAGCTAATTTACTGCTTTTCTGCACTTTCTGAAAACAGTGAAAAGTCAGAAAACCAATGGTCACTTACTTCTGAAGAGAATTAGTAAGAGGGATTATCTCGCTGTCCCACAGTTTTAATCCAGCATCTGCTTTTTCAGAAAGCTTAAAGAAAAACAAAGAAGAATAATTGTGAACTGAGGGAAAGAAAAGCAGCATGGAATTTTTATCGCACATTGCATTGGACAGTGCTGACAACAAATTTACTGCATCATAAAGTAATTCAGGTTTGGAGGGACCTCAGGAGGTGGGCTCTCAGCAGCCCCCCCATAAACAAGTAGCCTCCAACCAGCCCCTCACCAGCTCACTGATGCCTGTCCTGAAGCGAGGGGCCTCGACCTGGATGCAGTATTACAAACGTGCTCTAAAAAGTGCTGGGGAACACAGAGGGACAGTCGTTTCTCTTGATGCACTGACTGTACTTCTGTCCATATGCTGTTCCTCCTTTGCTGCCAGGGGATGCAGGTGTCCCATGTTCAGCTTGTTGAATTTTCTGTGAGGTTCCTGTTGGCCCATTCCCCCAGCCTACCTGATCCCCACACACGGAGCATTTAATTCATCACTAAGTATGGGACATAGGGTGTAAGAACTGCATGCAAGCAACATCATGACAAGTTTTAAAGTCTGTGAAATAATTTTGAAAAAAAAGTGCCACCAAATACCAACTCACTGATGCCAAAGGAGGCAAGGATAGAGCATTTGAGAATGGCTGGATTTTAAAAAATTTGCTACATGCCCCTGAAAGCCTAGAGTTAACAGGGTTATTACCAGAAAAACTTTCCCAGAACACAGCTGGTGCTAGAGCAGCAGAGGAGAGCACAGCCTGCTCTCTTTGGGCCAGACTGCCTGAAATGTCGCCATCTCCTGGCTTCCAAGTACTGCTTTCTGCAGCACTGCTGGGGCTGCTGACCTGCCACAGTGCCCCTGCAAGCCGGAGAGACTGCATCCTGACTAGCACACGGCCTCCAGTTTGTAACAGCAGCAAGACGCAGGAGATTTAGGGCACAGCGGTCTTGAGCATGTGCTCCTAATGCAAACTGGATTGAATCTGCTGGCAGTGTTCCTTCTAAGATGACTGGAAACAGAGTCTATAAAAGGATTAACAATTTATCTTGGAAATGTACACAGCACATTGATTTTGACAAGATACAACTTAAGGAAACTGACAACTCACTTTTTCAAACTCTTCCTTTTGCTCAGCAGTTTCACTCAGGCTTAAACTTCCCTGAACTCTTTGAAGTTTAAACAACATAAGCTTCAGAGCTTCAAGGGGCCTGTGATGATGACCTACAGAAAAAGTATTTTCCTAGACCAAAACCCAAAGAATTTGTTGATCTTGCAGTGTGCTGCTGGTTGAAACAAACCAAAACAGTTTCTAAGTTTCCCTGAAGCAATTTAAAAGCTAATTTCTGTGAGTGTTTCCCCTCCACCTGTTCTTTCTATTTATAAAATTGTACATGTGTGATGCTCCACTGGTTCATCTTCATTTCTGCCACTGTATGGTCAGTGAAGTCCCTGTAAATACATACGTTCTTAGGAAGACATGAAGCAACACAGAAATTCCTCAGCCCTGGCTTGTGTGAAATAATCCAAGAACTTTAAGACTATCAGTGCTGGTAATGCACACAGCAGTGCTGGAACATGTTTCAGCATTTCACAACTGACAGAGCAAGTAAGCTTCCTTAACAATAAACAGAGATTTATTCATATATTTACCATCTATATGATATCTGCTCATTCTATAATCAAAAAAGTAAATTAACTCAGAGTGAGTGAAAAAAAATTGTGGATAATCTAAAAATACTTATTTCTAGAAATGTCTGGTGATCTAGCAGAACCAACAGAGCAGGAAGCATGAAGAATGAAATACAGTGAAGCGCCATTTATCAGAGACAATAATTTGAATTACTCATGCACCTTGTTATGTTCTGGGTCAATGAACAACTTAAGGAAATGGAAGTATGTGCCACTGTGGAAAAACTTAAAGGGTAATGCTCTGTTTACTACAAGGTGGGAAAACAGAATTGTAAAGCAGTTAAGAGTCAAGGACAATGGGTAGAAAGTAAAGGAAACATACCGGTACATAAATTAATAGTATGTCTTTCAACTAGAAAACTGGGCTCAGTGCTCATGTATCTCGCTGAGAAAAGGATAAAGGGTTCATATAATCCAAATGAAAGACTGAACAATATTAAGACTGCCAAGGAGGTGATTAATATGTAAGAATTGTGATTATTCATAATTTTATTCCCAGAGTAAATTCAATCCACGATCCAATTCCAGTGCAATAGCATAAATAATAATACATAACTTACTTCTTGAACTTGACTCACACCCAGCAGTACATCAGCCAGGCTAGGAAATTAGTGGTATTTAATACATAAATAATAATAAAAAAAAAATCTTCCTTTACTCGAGGCAGAAAAATTATTATATAAGCAAAACATGGAGTGCAAAAGTCAAATTATTACTATGACAAGCATTTTACGGTTAGATGCTTTCTTAATCATTGCGACCAAGAGCTAGTTTATGGGATTTAGTAACCGTATGAATTCATCACGCTCAAATATGACTAAACTATTGCAGTTAGACTTCCTACTTTATATATTACAGAAGAAAACCCACCGTTTTACAGATATTCCCCCTCCTAACATTTACCAGTCTTACATATTTTGGGCACTCTCAGAAATAAATATGCAATTTTACTGACCTTATTTTTGTCCTTTAAACAGTCTTCCAAGAATTTATGTATGATATCTGCCTTGGGGAACGGTAGAGCACCCTCCACATCCTCACAGCACATAGGCACTGGTGGTCTGCTAAACCAACATCAAAGATGCAATGGAGAAAAATAACACGTTTATAAACTGAAATGTTTTAGGATATAGTCATTGTGATGAAACCAGATCTATTGCATCACTGCAACACCAAGAGAGCATTGAGTAGTACTGTTTGGTACATAGTTTGGTCTATGTGAGAGAAACACATAACTATTTTTTCCAGTTTTGCCAGTATAATCAAAACCTGTGTATCCATAAAAATCAACTAAACAAAAAAGGCAAGGTAAGGACTTCTTAGCTATAGTGTGTTATATGTGGGTGCTTTTCTCACACCTGGTACTCCTCCATTAATATTTGACATGTAAAGAAAAAGAGTTATCTTCTGCTTACTGACCTCTAATTCTTCTACAGTCTCTAAGGTATCACAAACTAATCGTAAACTAGTAAATCTATCAATTCAAGTTCCATTAAATAATTTTTTTCTTGAAATAAATACTTCTTATCTATCATCGATATATGGAGTTATTACTAAAAGGCAACAATAGGTAATATTGATAGCACTTTGCAGGTCAATGAAAAAGAGAAAGCAGTGCACCAATATCCTGACCTTATAATATCAAACATTTAGCACTAGCAAGAAATCTAGTAGATAATCCTTTTTTTATGTACATGCCACAGCACCATTACCTATAGTCTATATCCAAAAGCAATTAAATACATTATGCATTTTCATAAACAAATTAGTCCAAAATATCTGTTTACTTACAAAGCACCTGGAGCATTTTCCCATGATCGTTCTCCTCCAAGTATATCTGTTGTAGAAGGACTGTCATCATTTTCTGGAGTATTTGACAGATCTTCAGTTGAACTCTTCAGACCTCTGTCAGCCTTCAAGGTAAGTAGCTCCAGCTGGTCTTCTAAAAAAACCAAGGACACAATGTGTCCAAGTGTCTTCAAGGGCATTATTTCCACATTACTTTTAATTTTATGTAATACGCAAAGAAAATTAGTACAGTTTCATGAGCTCTGGAAATATTTTACAGAGAGTATAGCCCCAATATAGCTCCTTGGTTTATCTTATCATGGCATGTAAATCATCAGTGCCAAATGGGATCCGCAAGGTTCTAACCAGGAGAGTATGTATGGTCAAGCCTTTTAACTTCCATAAAAAAGTATCATACATAGCATTCAAGATTATTTAATGTTTTTAATGTGCTTTCATGCTATAGAAAACACAATTCACAATACAATGTTAAATGTTACTTCTTAATACTGTAAGTTCTTAGGTTAGCTTTCTTATTATTTTGTACGGGTTTTTCTAATAGCTGCTTTTACAAACACCTGGGAGAGAAATCATGCAATATATATATGCAAATCACATATATAATCACATACAGGACTCACATTTAAAAATAGCATGAGACAAGCACTCAAAATGACAGGCATTCTTTTTTTTTTATACCTAGCCTGTTTGTGATTGGTCATTTGTCAAAGAGGGAAGTGAATAAATCTACCGTACAGTGCAGTCAGACTCACGTAGCTAGAGTGTTGGCTTAAAAAAAGTACTTGTCTTTATAAACGTACCCTCACAATTAAAAAACAAATTATATGAAATATAGTTACCTGTGAGTGGCTTTTTAGTGTGTCTTGAAAAGGAGTTATCAAATGGGAAGCAGGCATCTGGACTATCATAGTTGCAACTTTCTTCTACTTTTTTATCACCTCTCAGATCCAGGCAGTCATTTTGTTCAAGAAAATTAGAACTGTCTGTATCTACAGAGTGTCCTTTTTTCAGAACGTCAGAAGTTTGAGAGGAGGAAGCTTTGCCTTGTGTATTAAAATTTTGACCATCACTTTCTTTGGTTGAATTGGAAAGAAGGTTGTGACTCTTAATCCAGACGGGGTAGTGCAAATTGGGAATGCTACTTATCCCTGATAAGCTTAAATCAGACTTCTGACTGGTAAGCCACCTTGGATAATTCTTAAAAGTGTTAGAGATCTCTTCAAAAGACAAGGGTCTTGAACTTCCTTTAGAGGAGACAGAATCATACCCATCAGGTGTATACACACTGCATTTCTTTTTGCTGGAGTCTTTGTGTGGATTCTGGTGAGCAACAGCTTTCCCATTCTCCTGGAGACTGAAACTGATTTCAGTATTGAGTGATGAGGTTTGGCAAGGGCAAAAAGATGTTTTAAATGACTGTCTTTTCCTCTCGCTGCTTTGATGCTTTGATTTAGGACTTTGCTGGACAAAGGGCAGTGATCCATCTGCTGGAAACGCTAACAGATCATCCGTCGCAAGACTAATCAAGTCTGAGTCACACTCAGTCTGTCTTCGAGAAGGTGAACCAAGAGAACCCAATCCTACCTGCTGATTAAAATCTTCCAATGCTGAAAGACAAAGATATTTTACATGGATTGCTAAACTTCAAGCAAACCAAAAGGATACATTTGCAAAATCCAATGTGAAGTAATAACTTAAAGCTGAAATATGTTATTTACCAAGGGTTAATGAATTACAGCTCTTGCAAGACTAGTTCCATTTCTAGTGAGAAGCTTGCTAAAAATCTTACCAGTCAAAAGTTACCCCTCCTTTCATAGCACAAAGCATTTACAGCTTTGTTTATTTATTTAAGAGAAACAAGAAATCAACATTCTACAGTCCATTTTTAGTTGTGCATTCAGAATTGTACATTTTGCAAGCATGTCCTTAAGTATTCCAGTCCTAGTAGTGACACTTCCTCTACACAGTAATGTCAGGGATGACTTCCTCTGTACTGAATGAAGCACATTCGCTAGAGAAAAAGATGGCTAAAAGCAACATCTTGAAAGGCAAGTAGCCAGATAATGGGCCCATTTTGTGATTCTACAGAAACTTACACGCTATATAAGATTCAACTTGGCAGTTTCTCAGGGAAGAATTATAGCATTAAATCCTTTTTTTTTTTTTTTTAACTGAAGCTATGAAATGCTTTGATTCACAAAAATATGCGTTCCTCAGCTAGTACCTGGAAGTTATTTTTTTTCTCACTTTCAGTGTAGCACCAGTAAGTGAAATCTGCATATTACAGGCTGTTACAACACACAAAACATACATGCAGACCAGCTAATACGCAACAGAGCTGATGAGACCAAATGTTTATTTATTGACACTAATAATAAAAAAAGCCAATTCAAACCCATATATACCACCCAGTTGGGTTAGTCTTCAGATCCCCCCAAAAAAACCCCAATGGATAGGAGGCAAATTTTGTTCTAAGACAAAGCAGTGTTTAAGGGAACTCCTTCAATTAATTAGATTCTGATTTTACTTACTCTCAAAAGGAAACAGATTTTTTTTTTTTCCAAGACACAGGTTTAAGCAAGGATTTACACTGTCTTTAGCATATATTCACATATAGAAAATACAATTTCTATTCCATACTCTGGAAATTATTACTGCATCTATGACCATGGTCAAAAATTCTCATCCAGTCCACCAGGTACTTATAAAAAAGCATTACAGAGAATGACAAATACTGCTAGTTATGACCAAGCATCATTTACTATCCCATAAAGACTCACATAAAGAAGTTGTGCAGGGAATATTCCTCCAACAAAACACGCCTGGTGTGAGACAAGGAGTTGCCATACCCCTTGCAAGGAAAACAAAACAAACAAACAGCAAACACCAAATCTTATTAAAAGATATATTTGCAGAGACATACCATGTTTTTCTTTGGCATGACGCTTTGAAAACTTTTTGGGAGTGCTTTGGTATATGCAGATTTTTCCAGTGCTTATTTCTGAAGACGTGAGACTTAAATCAAAATCTTCAATATAAGCCTCCAAAGCCTCAGATGCAGAGCTGTAAAGCTTGTCCTTGTAGTGAATCAAACTGTCTGAGTACAGATTGTTGCTGTCGATGCTACAGCTTGTTAAGAGAGAAGAAACTGTTGAATCAGGAGAGCATACACTCTCTTCTTTTATTGAGCTTGTCATGGTTTTTATCCAGGTTTCTGACAGAACCTTCACTCATCTTTTTAAAGAATCTACACAGAAAACAAAACAAAACCACAAGCAATCATCTGCACTGAGACGTCTTCTCAGAAACTGTAATGTATCTAGTATTTTTTACTTTTGTTATGTAATTTTATTATTTAGCTATTCAACTTGCTGCTTTTCAAATAAGGTTGCCATCTATACACACCACCCCTAGAAAAGTAAGAAGCAGAAAATAAAGGCTCTGGAAAAGGTATAACAATGGAGAAAACTTCTTGTATATCGAAACTTTAGTAGTGGGGAAAAAAAAAAAAAGAGCAAGAAAATCCAGTTCCTCGCTAGTTCAAAAGGGAACCTCAGTACCCTGCTTTTGCAAGAACAGGATTTAGCCTAAGAACTGCTGGCATTTGTCACCAAACAAAGACTCACAGAAGCATTGTAACTTTTGATTTCAGAACCAGCACAAAAGAATAGCGTTCATGGACAAAAACAGAGGTAGTTTAGCATGAAAAACAAACAACTCCATGTAACAAGATTAGGAAGCCACTACCCTTGTGGGTTGTTTATGTAACCGGAAAGGGTACACACAGCAAAGGAACTGTACAAGCCACATGGGAGCACTTAGAATTATCTATGCCATTTGGTCAACCTAATCCCAGCTGCCTTTGTAACCCTGTAAAGCGTTAATTGAAGAGTTAAAAGCGCAGGCTTGTTATAAATGGTGCAATCAGCACGGTCAAGGTCACCAGAAGAAATTGAACAGTTTCACCCTGTAGGTAAAACACCACTTGAAAAATCTGCTAAGGTGCTGTAACAAGGAGCAGAGGTTGATAACTCTGTCTTACCCGATATCACAGGCCTACATGGACCCCCACGCAGCAGCAGCACAAGGATTTATATAAAAAAAGGCAGAATAGGGACCAGCTCTTCCAAGGCCGAAGAGGTCTTCCCCAGAAAGCCCAAGGGCACGGAGGCCCCCAGCCCCACACAACACCCCGGGAGAGGCCGGGCGGGCCTACCCTGGGCCGCGGCAGCACCCCCAACGCCCTTGCCCTCACAAGAAGCGCTCATCGGGGGCAAAAGAAGGGCCTAAAGCAGCACAGCCCCTCCTACAACGCTAGGAGGGTGCTCCACCCCCAGCTCCTACCCGCCCATCCCTTCCCGGGCGCCTCAGACATCCCCAACCCGCACCGGCCTCTCCTTGGGGCTTTGCCGCGCAGCGGTTTTGAAGGGACCGCGCCCCTTCGCAAGATGGCGGCGCGCATGCGCAGAACCGGCCGCGCGGCCCTCTGGGAGTTGTAGTCAAAGCCAGTGCGGGAAGCGCGGCGCTAGGCGGGGACTACAACTCCCGGCATGCCCCGCGTGAGGCGGGAAGGCGGGGCTGGGTCGTTCGCGGGTCTCTCCGCTGCGTGAGGTGAGGGCGAGCTGCTGCCGTCGGTTCCTCTCCCCCCTGCCCTGGGGCAGCCCACCTGCTGTCTCCACCGGAGAGCGAGGAGGAGAGGGGCTGCCCGGTGGGTTGTCCGCCGCCTGTGAGGGAGGCATCCGCGGGGGATGAGGGTCCCGCCGCCCAGGCCTTCGTTTCTCAGCGCTTGGTGGTGGTCGCGGCGCTGGGCAGCTCTCCTTGGGGGTTCATTTGGTAGAAATACTCGGTTCGTGGAGACTAAAACCCGTGGAAAGAACACAGGGATGAGCCCTGTGGTTTTTGCTCTTTAAAGAATGCTTTTATGGCGGGCTTGCAAAAATTGCTTTTAAATCTTTACAGGTAAATGGATTATAAGAAAATTACAGATGAAGTTTCGGAAAAAATTCTGTCGTACAGCCAAGATACTTCAGGATGGAGAGTGGTAAAAGTTTCAGTAAGAACATGCGAGTTAACATTGCTTATAAAGTTGCTTTTATTAAATACGTTTTGTTGCAAAAAGGTGTTTAAAATTGTTTTCCTTTGAAAGTTAATTGACAACTATCAACTGCTAAGTTTTTTTTTTTTCCTTTTGAGAAAAATGTTACAGTTTCTTCAAAGCCTTCCAAAGAGTATGCAGGAAATATGTAAGTATTTACATTTTGCTTGTCATTGTAATGAATAACAACATGGGTTTTTTTTGAACAGTGATTGAAATGGAAAAGTTAATCATCTGCTGTCCTTTATGACAGTGTTAAATTTGGGTTTTTTTAGCTGTAGAGATTTTCTGCTGCTTACACTGGGTCAGCAATAGAGGTGCAATACAAGAGGGGGATTTCCCAAGCAATTTTCAAGTGTGCTATGAAAATTAAATACTATATAGCAATTACTAAGTAGATACGGAGTCACAGTTTTGGCCTGAAGTCAATGACTCTTCCGGGTGGAATATTCCATTCAAGCCATTACATCTTACCAGCTGGGCTTCGCTTTTCACCCCTTCATTGTGAAATTCACTTGTGAGATGGCTCATACTCATACCTGCAGTCATGCTTACATTCTCGCTCTACCTCATGTGTCCTTTGTACCTTTTTCTTTCTGGCACCCAAAGCTGAATTAACTAAAATAAGAAGGTCATATAACCTCTGGAGCAGCAGCTTCACCTGTCCTTCCTTCTGTGCTGTTGTTAAGCAGCCAGACTTGGCCCAAAGGGTTAGGTGAGGCAGACTAAGCTCATTTCGCAGCTTGCTGTCACTGATAGAGTTGTCTCTACTCTTTATGCTCCCCCTCTCCTCTTTCCTACCCCTTTCCTGACTCTGCAGTCCTGCTTCCCATTGTTTCCCATTTCTGGTGGCTGTGGCACTCAGCTGATTTGTTTGCCAAGCTGAGCTGTTTGATTCATCTCATGAAACCAGGGGAAAGAAAAAAAAATTTTCACTGAAGTGTGCAGATGCAGAGGAGAAGAGGACACTTACAATGTGTCCATACTTTCTTTCTCTTTTTTTTTTTTTCTTAATGCCTAATGGGTATTAAATTATATTAAATACCAATCTAGACAGATAGGTAGCAGAGAAAATTTGCTCTGGATATGACAAGATGTTTGTGATTAGTGGTATTCTAAATCCAAAAATTTTATTTCACAGGTGGATGTGAGGGAGTGACAGTCTGATTGCTTAGAAATAAGAATGTGCCTGACATTTCTGTGGCGGAAAGAAGATATGCTGTAGTCTCAACTGGGCACAAAGGCATTTTCAGTTCTAGCCAGATCTATATCCAGCAAGTCATTTGCAGTTAGGAGAAGCATCATCATGCTTTCTGCCATTTGGTGCAGGGACCCAGAATCTTTCGTTTATTTATTTTTTGTGCAAATCTTTGTTGTGTTAACAAGCAGTACTGGTCCCTTGTGTGTCTTTTGTGAAGGAATAGTAACTGTTCCTAGGAGCAAAACTATAGCTGTTCCCATTTTCAGTTTGATGTTGAATACTTATTAACCACATGTCACAAAAGCAAGTTTCTTTTTTAATTGGCAGGAGTATTAGCTTTACTTGATGAAAGAAATCAGTATGGGATCTGGTAGCAAAAAGCAGTAAAGATCCTTGCTTCAGTCAGGTGAAGTATTTTCAGCAGAGTTCAGGGAAGTGTTAAGGGGATTGTTCAAGGCTGAATAGGATTTTGGTTGGAATTATGTCATCTGAGCTGAAGAAAGACAGTGAGAGATGTATTTCAGTTTGCCTAAGATAGTGAGACTAGAGTTGGTGATCCAAGCCAAGGCTTACTTCCTCTTTTTCCAGTGTTCTCAAGTAATCCACTGTAAAAACTGGAAATTGAGATTTTTCACAAGTGTGCCCTTTCTTTTATTCTAGCAACTGTGTCTTTCAGAAGGCTGCCCTAGAAGAATTCCTCCTGGTTAACAACTCGCACTGAGTTTAGGAGAGAAGATATTACAGGATGCAGGCGAGAGCTGCTTAGGAGATGGGTAAACATAAGTTCATGGGAGTTACGAAAATAAAGGATGTATACAAATATTAATACGCTGGTTTTAACTGGTCCTGCCACAGCTTACATTTGCTAGTTTTGAGTATAACATTCAAATGTTTTCCATCACTATCAGACTTGCTGTAGTTGGTGGAGAAGCCAGTTTCTGGAGCAAATACATTCCGCCAAGGCAGTCAGTGGTGACAAGAGTTGCTGCAGAGTGAAGAGGCAGACCCGTGATTTTACAGGGCCTCTGTGTTTGGGTTTGAGCTGGGCTATCTTTTCTCTTTCTGACTTACACTCGTGCATCATCAGGGTCTGTAAATCTGTTTTCATGTTTCTTAAACTGTTTGCAAGCATAGTCTCCTTTGAGCTCATCTACTGTCATGCAGCATCCTTCACCTTTGCATTTAATTGCTGTTTGTGAGTGCTTATCATAGTGATTCACAGGTTCTCCAGGAACTAGAGGTGAAAATTATCAGCTTTAGTGAGCAGTTCCCAGCATTACAGGAGCTTCCTATTTCCTTGTGAGAGGCCTGTCTTCCCCTCTGTGAACTTTCCCTTGAACTCCTCAGAAGATTATGAACAAAAGTTGGAGAAGCACCAGAATGAACTAGTTCATAAATAGTGAGAGGATTTGCAATCAGTGTCAAAATGGAGTGAAAGTATCTACATAAAAAAATAAATTAATAGATGATCTGCACGTATTTAAATTAGTAGGTTCCTATCTAATAGCTCACAAATAATTCATTTAAAATGTATGGTGTCAAAAGCGTAATGGTCTCAAAAATCAGTTACAGAATAATAATTTTTATTACTACTTGAGTTTTAATCAATCCATCAAGTGCAATCACATTCTTGTGCTTCACCTCATTATGGCCTGGCATCCCCAACTGCTAGATGCTTATTATTGTATAACTGATTTTTCCAATTCATAAATATGAATTCAATACCTGCGGGTTTTTTTTTTTTTTTTTACACAATCTAGATACCGTGGAGAAGGGGTAATCAAGGAAGTTACTAGTAAAATTATTCCTTTTATGTATCTTCCTGAATATCGAAGCAAATGGGACAAAGCACTACAGTCTTACAAGCTGTTAGAAAGGATTGACCAGGTAAAATGATAACTTAATAGAAAGATTTTATTTCAGCTCTTTCTGCATGAATTATGGTGCCTAAAAAGACCTCTACTGGGATGAAGAAGGCTCTCAATGCGAAATACATTCTGGGTTGGTTAAAACTTCTAAACCTGCTGCTTATGTGAAATGGGTATGAAATGTGTCCCTCCCTTTAGGAATTAAAACTAGATATGAGGACTGTCATCTTATGCTAAAAATAGGAATCAATTTTTGCCGCATTCTCATTATTCAACATGTTGCTTTGCCAATCAAATAAAACTTAGCTTCTTACATATTAATTCAAAAAATTACTTTTACTCACTTGTAGGACACGGGTATATACCACAGCGTAACACACAGTTATGGCATGGGGTTGATTTCATCAAGAGATTTTGTTGACCTGCTGCATGTTAAACCGTACCCTGGTGGTATCCTTACAACTAACTGTAAGTTGCATGTAACTACTGCATGTGTTCATATTCTGGTTGCGTTCTGGAAATCCTAAGGAGAATGGTTGTAGAATAAGTTCTGCAGCCTCATCCCAGTAGAGAGTACCTTGCTCGGTGTGTGGTCTTACTAATGTTAACAGTCCCCTCTTGCTTAGCCCCAAAACAAAGCTGCTTTTTTAATACTGAAATTATCAAAATTGGTCTTCAACAAAAATACTGTGGTTTTTGTTTAGTCTCCTGTTATGCCTGTATTTGAAAAACATTTTTAATCTTGGAACTTCACTGGCCTATCAGATTTTTTCCAGCCATACTCTTACGATACTTTTATTATGCAAAAGTAATGGATAACTAAACAAAACAACCCCTCCCCATCTACTGCTGTGCACATATGCAGCAGTTTCCTCATCTCCCCTGCAATTGCTTTTACTAATTAATGACACCTGCTGGCAAACTGACTTCTTTGTCCAGAACTAAGCCACACCTCAACACTGAGGTATGTGTCATCACACCTCAAGGATAATGCTTTTGGGTATACCTGCCCAAACACCTATAGAAACTTTTACATGTGTTAAATCACTTGCACAAATATTTAATGTCCTTTAGGTGTTTTGCATACAGAATGGAATTGCTAAACACACCAGTGACCATGTTGTGAGATCTTGTACTACCCTATAGTAGTTAAAGTAGTTTGTTTTTTTTTTTTCAAGGTATTTTTGAGTCACATGGTTGACACACGCAAACATAATTAATTTTATTTTGCTTTTTGTGTGTGGTGATTTACAGCCATCAGTGTGGAATACTCCAGCTGCCCTCCAACTCCCTCTTGTGTCCGAGGCTATAACAATCCCTGTGGATATGTGTGTTCACCTTTGCCTGAGTAAGTATTTAAAGCCCCCTTACATTAGCATCTGTGGTTACTCAGTTGTCTTGTCCATACAAAGCTTAAAATTTACTGGACCACACAGCTTTTTAAAAAAAATAAATTATTCAGACAGTTTTATTCTGGGGAAACTTTGGAGTTTCGTGCAGATCAGTTTTGTGACTGAAACTACCTTTTGAAACAGTTGAAACTTTTACAATTTTAAATTGTAAAAGTTTGTATGTCTTGGTAAGTTTCATAGCAAGAGTAACAAGCCTTAACTGAAGGATTTTTCTCCTTTCATTACAGGAATCCAGAGCATTCTAAGCTAGTTGTTTTTATTCAGCCAGAACTAGGAGGAATGCTTCCCTGTTCTGTAGTGGAGACAGCCTTACCCACTACTCTCGTAAACTTAATCACTGACACAAGAGCTGGACTGAAAAGCTTGGAAGACCGTAATTAAATGTAAGTGGAAAACAATCAGCATTTAAGTCACATGCATCATTTACTTGCATTCATTTTTAAAGTAGATGAAAGAGTTTATTTTAAATGTGGTTTATGTGGAAATGTATAAAGCTTAACTGTTAAAATGGTGAATGTTGGTTTTCTCTGTCCCTGGAAATGATGCAAGAATTTACACAGAAGTGCCATCAAAGTCCAGGAGGTCAATTTCAATGTAATCAGGTGACGTTTTGTAGTATTTTTGCACTTTATACCTAAAGAATATATATATATATATATGTGAGAATCTCGTGATATCAATTATAGCAATGTTAAAATACAGTAGTCAAATATTTTTCCATAGCTTTAAACAGACTTTGATAAATTCTTACCTCAGTTATGTACTCTTGACTGAAACATCTTGTGTACTAGAAACTTTGAAGATGTTTATTAACTGTAAGTGTGCAAGTGTGATTAGCAACTGTTTGACTGTTTTGGAATTAAGTATATGAAGAAAAGCCTGACGAATTTGTATCTAGCATCTCATTAAAAGCTGCTCTTTATACACAGAGTTATTTGTCATTTTCTGAATCCTGAGCACCAAACCTAACCAATTTTTATACGCTGACTAACTTCCAGGAACAAGCTGGTGATATGATTCATTTGGAAGTAATGTTTCCCAGTAGCCCTTGGTATTTTTAGTACCTCTACCTCGGAGTTAACTGCAGGAAATAGTGATAGCCATGTGAATAGCAATTTCCATTACAAATCCCCGAAACAGGGGCACAAATTAAAGAATAGTGGGAAAACTGTTTTCATCTTCTCTCCTCAATCCCCTCCCACGTTGTCAGAAAGAATTAACTGCCTCCATAGTGTAACTCAATGAAAATGAAAGTAAAAATTCCTTCCCCCCAGTGGGTGTGTTAAGGTATTAATAGTGACTACTCAAATACGTTTGCATACTATAATATTTTTTAGGACAACTAAGGATTCATCAGATAAATGTCAATTTATAAGAAAGAGAAATAAGACAGAATAATTACCACTTAAACAGAGTCACCAGCAAGTTTTGTCAAAACTTGTCAAAATGTATTTTTAATATTCACATGTTTACAACTTACAGTAAATGTTTCATAACTAAAGTGCCTTCAAGTGCTTGATTTTTACAATGTCACTATTATGAAAAATGTTTCACTGTGGTTTGAAGTATCTTAGCAAACTGTTAGACTGTGACGAACATGGTGCTGTATTCCTTCTTCCTTTATTTGTTTTGGGCTTTTCAGGGGTTTTATCCATAGAAGTCTTGGACACGGGTTCCCGATTCTTCCACTCAGCTAGCAGTTCTTCTTGCACATCTGCAGGTAGTTCATAAAAAGTCTTTGCATCAACATGAGGAGGCAGTACAACTCCTGGTTGCCTACTGTAAGTTTTATCCTCAGAAGGTGTTTCAAAGGCCTGGTTATCTTTATCCAGAACAGTCCGGCTGGCTCCAGCTTCCAGAGAGGACAAACCTTTCCCTCTGAAGTCCAGAGAGGCAGCAGGCTGTTTTTCCATACTGCTGCTTGTCAGTGCACTTCTGGGACTCTCGGAAGAACAACTGGCCCTGGAGCTGTGTGCCAGAACAGCTGCAGATCCAGGAGCTGATGCAAGATGTGTACTGCACCCTGCAGAGTACAGATCGCTCTTTGGTCCCTTAGAATTTGGGGAAGTGCTGTGTACCTCGTCTCCAAAACATACCAATGGCTGGCCCAAAACATTCTCGGTAGGCATTGCTTCTGTTTTTTCAGAAAGAATTTCTTTTTGAATATCTTCTGTAAGTTCCCTGAAGACTTCCTGGTCAATATCACCAGGAGACAAACAAAATGGGATGTCAGGAATTCCTGTGGTTTTTATATTGCTTTTCTTTTCCTCTGAAAGTTTCCTAGTTTTTGTAGTTCCAGTTCTATTGCTTTCCTCACCTTGTGAGACATCTTCCACTTCCTGTGGCAAAAATGTAAAAGCATAAGAATGTTCTGTGTAATCTATCAGTGATCAAGCACTATTTTACCAACAGCAAGTTCTTAAAATTATTCCTTAACAGACAGTGATTTTTTTTTCCCTATGATCAGTAGTGTTTTTTTTAAATCTTATATTCAAACATAGACCTTAAAAAGTACATACACATAGAAATATTTTTGTAAATTTAAAGAAGCAGATACCTTGAAGTTACATTTTATTGCTTTAAAACTCTGTGAACCTTTAAAATACACAATATGATGTTATCCCTCATTTTCCTGAGCAGTTGAGAAACAGACAAGTTTATAAATACGCAAAATTGCTATGTTTACACAACATAATTTTGAAGTTACTAAGTTTTTGTATTACGTACTGGAAGCATCTTGTGGAAATACTTTGCAGTGTTTTGACAGACAGCTCCTACACTAACGTATGCATTTGGGAGGTAGGAGGTTTGTTTGATTCTGAGCAGAATTAGAAGCTCCCTAGATCAGCAGGTAGTGCTAGAGGCCAATACAGAACTGACTCTTTTGTTAATTTCGAGTCTGAACAGGGAGACCTGAGGATGCACAGGAAGATAAATAGTCACTGTAAAAGTATCTTAATATAAGCAACTTTAAGGAGATTTTAGTCTAAGGTAAAAGATCCTTCACGATGACAGTATCTGAGTAAGTGGCCTGTTTCACAAATGATAAAGGACAGATCTTACACTAATTTGACAATTATTTTTCAGAAGACATTAAGTCTGGGTTTCTGCCTTAGTGAATTCTGTTCTCTTCAGTGACGGGGCTTGATAACCTAGCTGGCTGTCCCATTCAAGACATTATTAAATCTCTTTGAAGCTGTCTATCTAATGAAAGAAAGAAAACAAGTAACACCTCCTCAGAAGGTGAAATAAATCTTGATTTTTACCAGGTGAATAAAACTTACGATCCTAAAAACTCCAAAGCAGTTAAGGTTTAAATCTATATAATAAAGACGGAAATATCTCAGAACTTTCTTATCTGCAGATAGTTTTCAGTATCTTTCAACTTACCCGCACACGTTTACCAGAGGTTGATGGTGGTGACATCTGCTTTAGGTAGAAACCAATTGACCCTTTCTTGCTGCTAGGGAGATCTTTGAGATTGGAGAAGCAGACACTCAGAAGAGTAAGATGGAATGGTAGATCTACATCTATCATCTTTCGAAAGAGTTTCATTAGTATATCAACCAATGGGGATATAATGTTGCTGCTTTCTAAAATAAAAGAGGTTGAAAAAAAGCAGTGGATGTAATCAAGAGTAACTGGCTGAATAAGATTGATTTAAAGGACAAAGGCAAACAAAGCTAAACGCTTCCAAAATAGTCTGTCAATATGGTTGTTAAGATGTTCGTTCTGCCCTGGCAGGTATGTCCTGAACTGAGTAACAGACTTTTCTTTTTTTTTTCTCCAGTAAAAATGCCTCATGTCACACCTGTGACACTAACTATGTACCTAGGTTAGAAAAGAAGAATTGCAGAATACAAAACAAGCTGAATAGATCTGGAAAGTGATCTAATTCTACCAAAAAGTACCCTTCCACGGCCATGTTGGTATATAACATTACCCCAACATTAGTAATAACAACATGGTTTACTGGAGCTTGCATGACTATGTGAGCAGATGTTAGTCTCCTCCAAGGTAGAAGTCCAGTAGGAATTTTGAAGTGAGAAGCTACACAGACTGTCAATAGCTTCTCGAGGACTGTGAGAAGTGATTCTGTGTGCCGATACAGCAGTGATTCAGATTGATTTCCTCACCCCAATCTGAATGAAGTGTCAAATCAATTGCAATTGCTGGTTGGAAGGCATAAGCCTGAGAAGGATGAGAGCCTTTATGTTATTAATTTTCAGAGGTACATCAAAAAGACATTCTATTACATAATAAAGCTGAGAACATAATTCAAATCCTTAACAGAGAAAAGCAGATTAATCTGGGAAACAGCCCCCAGTTGCCCTTTCCCACCCCACCAAGAAATTTACAGCCAGGAATCCAGGCAGACTGGGTTAAACCATGGCAGTAACATAGAAGTTATTCCTGCAGGGAAGTTCTATACGTTTTTAGCATATCTTATCAAGATACATCCATTATAAATAAGGGAAAAGCTTCCAGATA